TGGTTGGATGTCCCTGATAAAAAAACTTGATCTTCCTGTTGACTCGCCCTTTCGTAAGGCCGATGTCATTCCTTTACCATTTCCTCCTCCAAGTCAGGTTGAATCAGAGACTAAGGCTAATGCCGAAGAAGAAGATGAAGGAAAAAATGATGATGAGGCCTTGGTGAGAAAACCCAAGGATGCTGCTGAAGCTAAGTCCCCTCCTCCTACTGAGCAAGTGATGGATTTAACCTTGGAGAAGGAGGGTGATGAGGTTGGGGGGGCACCCAAGGAAATCGCCATCGGGCAACTATCATCCGACCTTCTTTTGGCTGAAAGAAATCTAGACAATACGTTGGCTGAGATTGATGCTGAGATTGAAGCAGAAAAGGTTGCCTAGGAGGTTCCTCCAGAATCGTCCGAGGTCCCAATCCCTGCAGCGGCTAACACTGAAGAGTCTTGAAAAAATGTTTTTTGTACTTTTTTCTTCTTTTTCTGTACTTTGCAATTTGTACTCTCTTTTAATTTCTGGACAATGAAAAACTCCTTCTTATGGCCGACGTAGCTTTTTCCCTATGTAACTGCAACTGTTCCTTCTATGAATGTTTTTAATCTTCTGATGTTCTGTTGATTGCTTTTGCAAAGCTCTATACTTAGAAATTTTTGCATGCTTTTTCATTTTGCTTCCATTGTGTAATCTTCTCGGGGTTATATACCTCGGGTATAACAATACAACTTTTACTTCGGCAAGATACTGACCTGCAAACTTTTCATAAATTTTAACAAGTATAAACATATACTACTTAATGTAAACTTTGCAAGTTTCTTCTCAAGTTTCAATAAATATTAAACAGTGATCTCGGTCTATCATACTTGCAAATTGCTACAAATTTCAACAAGTAGTAAACAATATACTTAGCCTTTACTTCAACCTGTAAATTTCTGTATACCTCAGCGGGTGATCATATGTCGGCTTAACATAAACTTGTAAATTGCTACAAATTTCAACAAGTGAAGAATCTCGGCTTAACTTCAACTTGTAAATTGCTACAAATCTCAACAAGTGAATTAAGGAATAATCTCGGCTTAACTCCAACTTGTAAATTGCTACAAATTTCAACAAAGGAATAATCTCGGCTTAACTTCAACTTGTAAATTGCTACAAAAACAGAGCCAAAGTGATAAATAAATAGAATAGAATAGAATCTATTTTGATAAATAACTCACTTTTTGATCAATTGGTAAGCCAACTGAGATGTTAATTTCAAGGCTAAGTGAATGAAAATTGAATCAGTCTTCTTACAGCTCGTTTACGAAGATATTTTGGTCCAAAATAGTCGTATAAGATAAAATGTGTTATTTTAATTAAATAAAATAAAATATTATATTTTATTCATAATTATTTTATTTTTTTCTCAAAAAAATTTAAAAAGTCAAAAAATTTGTCTCAAATAAGACATTTTTACCCCAAATTAAAATAATTAAAAAATCACCTTACATCCCAAACTAACTCTTAAAAGAATATTATATGTTTTTTTATTTTCCTTTTTTTTTAATGTTAATTTGAAGAGATAATGTTTTGGCAAGTTTAGGTACAGGGTATTCTCACAGCTTTTGTCTTTTTGTTGAGGTCATGATTTATTTATTTGTTTTATTGAGATTCTTGGGAAATGATTTCATGATCGAAGTTGTAAGTTTCAAACCCTGTTTGGATGAAGTAATATTGTCAATTTTTTGTTTTTATTTTGTGTTTGAGTTTTTGATTTATGAAAGAATTTGTGAATAGAAAATAAAATGAAATGGTCCTCTTCTTTTCTCTCTATTACCCTTCATGCACGATCACTAATATTGCACTCGTCTGGGAAATTGAATTGGGATGGGTTGTAATCATTTCATTTTTTTTTTAAAAAGTCAAAAAAAATCATCACAAATGAAACTTTTTATCCTCAAATTAAAATAGTTAAAAAAATTAAAAAGGCAAAAAATCAACTCACATTCCAAACAAACTCATTGAAAAATTAAACGGTCCCTTAACTGTAGGACAACTTCACTTTTGTTTACAAGGTTTCATGAGTTTAGCTTTTGTTTGACATATCAGATTTTTTGGCTATTTTAGTCACAAAAAGAAAAAATTATTTTTTAGTTCAATAAGACAAAATATCACATCCAAACTATAATCATTTTATTTTTTTCTCTTACAAAAGTCAAAAAAATCAAAAAGTCTTTTACAAACAAGACTTTTTAGCCCTGAGCTAAAATAACCAAAAAACTAAAAAACCAACCCACATCCCAAACGAACCCTTAGTAGTAAAGTTTGGTATTTTTTTTTGTTTCAAATTTTTTTGTTTTTAGCTTTTTGTGAAAAAAACAATAATAAATTGAAAACACTCAAAAAAAAATATTTTTGCAAAACTAATATTAAAAAAATTCCCAAAATAACTTAATTGTGAATATTGTTTAGAAAAAAAAATTTAACTAATTTTTAAAAACAAATTGTCAAACAAGTCACAGTTTTTTATTTTCTCGGGGAGGTTTATTTATTTATTAATTTTTTAAAGAACCGCTATGTATGGGTTTGTTCAATGGAAAAAGCCCATATATACCTGCAATGTTTTGGGCCTGAGAGTTGGGCTCTGTCAAGGCCTTGCAAATGGGATGCTTTCCTGTTTGGATGGGACATTTTCCAATCCAATATCAGGTCAACCATGTCCTTAATCCTAGTTTGGACAACTGCAAAACCTTGTCAGTGTGCAGTAGAGTTTTAGAATTATACTTTGAGAATAAAGTTGTATTTTAAGTTTGTGAGTTTTAGAATTATGATTTGTTTGGTTATGAGTTTTGAAAATAGTTTTGAATAAAGTTTTGAATTTTTGATGTGATGTATGAAATAAGAAAAGTTGTTTAGTTATGAGTTTTGAAAAGAATTTTCAAAACTTAATTGAAAAACTTATAACTCATAACCAAACACACAATTCAAAATTCTATTGAAAATTCTATTCAAAACTCTTAACCAAACTCTTTTTTAAATTCAATTCAAAAAAATAATTTGTCATTTTGGTTTAAAAAAATAATTTATATAAAAAAAGTGTATTGTTTCGGTCAACTGGCCGAACATCCGAGACAGACAACTGAGTAGACTAAAAATTTAAAAATTGTCTGTTTTACCAAACATGTTTTTAAAATGTATTTTGAAATTGATTTGGAATTATGATTTGAAAATCCAAACCAAACATAACATTAAAATGTAAAGGTATAATTAATTTTACAAAGCTTTACCAAACACAGCCCTTATTTATCAGATCATTTCTCTAGCAATACGTATTCGTACTACAAGTCCCTCCAAAACGAGAAATTATTAGTTGGTTTTAGAGTATCGTCACATGATATCTCAACAGTATTGTAATTGATAGAAATGATAAGACCCATAAATTTGTGTTGAGTGATTAAGAAATATAAAAAAAAATGATAAATTGTGATTGGTGAGACGTATATTCACATAATGTTGATGGCCCAATCAATAATTTTTCCTCCAAAACTAGCTCTAACTAACTAATTTGGCGCCAACTCATTGATCAATCTTCAACAGTTTCAAAAGAAATCGATGAACAAAGGAACAAGTAGATGGCATCGCTTGATCGATCTAGTGTTCGACCGCCCCCACTATAAACTGTATTAGTAGTCATGAAAAAGTGATTGCTTTGAGTTTGGATGGCATGAATTGGTAACAATGGACAATTGAAGGCTGTTGCACAATGGCATGTGAACTGCTTGATAGAATGTTTATGAGTAACGTAGGCTAAAATAAGAAAAATAATTGATCCACCCATTTTGGACTCATCTGAATTATTTGAATTATGTAAGTTAGATAATCGGTATCACCTTTATTAATTACGACTATCACCTTTGTCAATCAACTGGTATGCACAAATTCAATTAATTCTAGCGGGTTCAAATTTGGTGGATATAACATTATCCTATAATAAATAATTTTTATGTGCTTTGAAATCATCTTACACGCACATCGACTAAAGCATTATTGTTTTGATTGATTTGATTGCTTCTGGTGCTTCAAATGCTAATATCACGTGGACAACTTGAATTTTTATGATATTTTTGTGACGTTAATATTAATGAGGTGATAAAAAAATATCGTGCGTGTTTCAAATAATAATTTAAATGAGAAAAAAAATGAAACGATCATGTAATTTATAAGAGAAAATAAAAGAAAATAAAAAATTATGATTTTTTTTATCCTTTTGTTTGGATATTAGTAAAAGTGCGCAAATACTAAGGGCATGTTTGGTTTGTTTTTCAAACAATGTTTTTAATTTTTTTTTGAAAAGATAAAAATTAATTTGATAAAAATAAATATTAAAAAAATATTTTAAAAGTTTTAAAAATTATTTCTGACTTCCAAAAAATTTAAATTATACTAAAATGATAACTATTTTTTATTTTACTTTATTTATTTCACCGAATTAATTTTTAATTTTTGTAAAAAAAATTAAAACAAGTTTCTAAAAATCAAACCAAAATAGTGTCTTTCGATTTAGATAGTTCAATTATCTCAAAAACATTACTGAGAATTATGAATCCATAATTAAAACTTTGACTCATAATTCAATAATTAATTAAAAACGTATTAAAACAGGGAAAGAACAATTTGTGCATTGAAAAAAAAACAAAAAACAAAACAAAACAAAGTGCCTGTTTGGCAGAAATTATTTACAGCTTATTTCAGCTTAATTTAAACTATTTTGATGTGTTTGGTTTAACTTATAGCTTTGTGGAAGTCAGAAATCAACTTATTCGTTAAGTGGGGCAAGGGATACTTTAAAAATAAGCTGAAAATCAGCTTAAGCTGAAAGTTATAACCTATAAACTGTTTGGGCATAAACTATAAGCACTTTCCCAGGACTCTACTAATCAGGCTAAAAACAACAATAACAAAAACAACAACTTTGAACACAGACGACGTCGTATGAGCTCAATCTAGCAAGACTAGAACGTAGTGGAAAAGCTAAACAGTTGTCTGGTCCTGTGTGGCACTGGTAACTGTACAATCCTTAAACTGAGAGAGAGAGAGAGAGAGAGAGGTGGAAGTGGAAGGCGATTCCATTGTTGTTGGAGATATTTAAAGAAAAAGATCAAACAAAACAAATACTAGTATTGCAGAGAAAAATGGTTCATCATCTAGTGGCTCTACGATCATCTCCGGTTCTTCTTCAATCACATTATTCCCCTATCCACATCCACAGGTACACCCCCCATATTACTATTTTTCTTGCATTTTCCTTCCTCTGTTTGGTTTCCAAGAAAAAAAAAACACACCCCTAAAACAAGGAGGAGAAATTGAATTGCTGAATCTTTATATCTTAATTTGCTAAGCGAAAAATAGCTCTAGTGGACGGAATTACAGAGTAGATTGGGATGATTTTGGTGTTTGGGGTCCCCTGATATTTGGATAAACCTAAACCTACAAAAGTTTCAGTTTTTAACAAATATCCAGAAATAAATAAATAAATAAAATCTGAAAATAAAATGTGTGGATGAGATTTATTCAATGTGATCACACCACTCCAAGTTTGAATTTACACTTCACCACTTCATTTTCAGGCTACAATTTCCCAGTATGCAAACAGAGAACATTTTTTTGTCTTATATGTATGCAACAAGTTTTGTGTTCTATTGGCAAATCTTGAAGAAAAAAAAAAAAAAATTTTGAATTAAGTTTAATTATCAACAAAACTGTACAGGTATTTCTAGCTCTTGTTGTATCTCTTTTTGCGGCATTTTTTTTTTTTTACGTTACAGATTATTTTGATGAAAGATTGAATTATTCTGGGTTTAAGATTTTACAGTGAGGTGAGTAAAGTTAGGTTTTGAGGGCAGACTAAAATTATTGCTAGATCCTGCAGTCTCTTACTTCATGATGTGACAGAATAACAATGGCTATCTTATCTTTTTCTCTTGCCGTATCGTTTTTAAGACTCTGCAAAGGAAAGGGATTTGTCTGGATATTAGGCCTCATGTCCAAAACATGGGTCCTTAAGCATATGTAAGTGGACAAAGAACACATGCAATGTGGTGTAGGTTTCCCCACTAAAAGGGTCTTATCCAGAACAAAATTAATCCAAAACTATCACCAGATGCTTCGGTATAGTGCAAATTTCTTCTTACATGTGTAAAAAAGGATAAAAAAGAAACGAAGGCTTCTCTGGAGTTTCAGAGTAGTTCTGATGATCAAAGTTTATCTGATCATTATTTGAATTCCATTTGGATCTTCAAGCAGGGAGTACAGGCTAATGTGAAGTTTGCCTATTATTAACCTTTTTTCTGGGAAAAATGATTTGAACAAGTGATAAGAATTTTTATGAAACATTAAAAAATGAAATAAAAATTGTGTCTGTGGACAAAAGCAAGTCAACATTAGCCATGATATGCATTATTAATTATTATGTCATATTTATTTATATTGGTTTTAAGAAAAGGTCTTGCTAATGACAGTCCTATGGGATGTTTAATTTATATTGCTTATGACAGTCCTACATGTAATTTATATATTGGTACTTTGTTCTTCCATCTCTATAGGGAAATGCCAGGGAAAATAATGTTAAAATGCTCGTTTGAGCAGCATATATCAAGCAGGGCTGTGACCAGACATTTATTATCTGGACTTGCTGCATCATTTGTATTTCTCTCTCAAACAAGTCAGGTTAGTATTTTATTTCTTTAAGCGCAACAAGCTATTATAATTTTTTTTCCCTCTCATTTGTAGTAAGGAGTTTTTAGTCAACATCATCACAATGCGCAGAAAATGGTGTAGATGTAGGATCAATCATCAGTAGATTTGTTATCTGAAAATTATAGAACAATCACATATATTGGTTTGTCCCAAGTGCCAATTAGTTGACATTTATTTGAATCCATGTGTTCCTTTCTCAACAACTGACATATTTGTTAAAGAGTAATTTTTGGTGTTTGATGTTCTAAGTGGTTGGATTGTGCTTTCTTTTATACTGGCTAGTGGGTGGCACACGCGATGCGTGTGCAATTCAGATAAGTAAGAATACAAACAAATAATAAAGAAATTAATATCATAATATGCAAGTTGTTTAAATGATAAATGCGTTCTTAATGAAACAAGAAGTCTTGGATTCAAACCTTGCTGTAGTATAATAATTTTTTATTTTAACATATAAAATTTGCCACGTGCCATGAGGAGAAAGTTTGGAGGTTTGGCCAGTGTTCAGATATATAATAGTATAGATAGATATTTGCAGATAGTCCCTTTCAATGCATACTGAATAGTTTATTTAGTTGATGCTAGAAATAACTTACTATGAAATCTCATGCAAGATTAAAGGATGTAGATAATACGAGGTAGTAGAAGTTACCTAAATGATTTGGAATGGGAGGGTTAAAGTGGAGAACGATGTTATGAACAGTAGTTTTTTTGTCCTAAAATCATCTTCAATGCTTTTGGGCAGGTTGTTGCAGGAGACATTTCTGGTCATTCTAATGTATGCCAGCTTGCAAGTGCCGCAGATAATGTACTAACTCTTCCATTTGATGAGGGTTCTGATGGAAGAAGAGGGATGATGATGATGATGACAAGAGGTATGACAGCAAAGGACTTTGACCCCATCAGATATTCTGGAAGATGGTTTGAAGTAGCTTCACTTAAACGTGGGTTCGCTGGACAAGGTCAAGAAGATTGCCACTGCACCCAGGTAAATGCAAAGAGTCGGTATATTTGTGACTTGTGGTGAAAATTGTAGTCTATTGGGAGAGTATTGCATTTACAAAGGAAATCTTGAAAAGAAACCTGGAAAGGCAACGAATTTTATGAACTGTGCACTGTAATTGCAGAGAGAGTTCATTGAATTAAGCCATCCAAATTGGCATTTTTTCTTGCTTTCTGATATATAGTTCTTTGAGAACAAGAGTTCATACTTCTGACAGCCAAAATATTCCATTTTTTTAAAAATTGCAGGGTGTATATACATTTGACATGGACACGCTTGCTATCCAGGTTGACACCTTTTGTGTGCATGGGGGCCCTGATGGATACATTACAGGTATTAGGGGAAAGGTTCAATGCCTTTCGGAAGAAGATTTGGAGAAAAATGAAACTGAACTAGAAAAGCTAGAGATGATCAAAGAAAAGTGTTACCTTCGTTTCCCTACGCTACCATTCATCCCTAAGGAACCTTATGATGTGATTGCGACTGATTATGACAATTACGCACTTGTTTCTGGAGCAAAAGACAAAAGCTTTATTCAGGTACATACATTCGACTTAGACACTGCCATATGTGAAAAGGCATTTTGCTCACTTGTTTATGACAATTGGTCATTTGTTGCTGGGGTAAAAACAGAAGCTTGATTCAAAATTTTGAAGTTGTTACTTTTTTTCCTTTTTCTTCCAATTATGTAGGAGCCTTTACATGGTAAAGTTCAACTCATTCACTGTTATTGCAGCTATGGGATGCAATAATTATTCTTTGATGTTGTAATTGATAGATTAAGCAATTACATATCTTTGTTGTATATATTTCAGATATACTCGAGGACACCCGTCCCTGGACCCAAATTCATAGAGAATTACAAATCAATCTTAGCAAACTATGGATATGACCCAAGCAAAATCAAGGACACTCCACAAGACTGTGAAGTGATGTCCAATAGCAAGCTAGCTGCAATGATGTCCATGAACGGGATGCAACAAGCTCTAACCAACCAATTCCCTGATCTAGGATTGAAGGCCGCTGTTGAATTCAATCCATTTACAAGTGTATTTGACACTCTTAAGAAGCTCATTGAGCTCTACTTCAAGCTGTAATTGAGCTTTGTATGCTTTTGTAATAAACTATAGAGCTGTAATATATAATTTTATCTCAATATTAGTGATTTGTTCTCCATATTTTTTGTAGTTAATAATTGTAGTATAAACCATAAGATAGACTGCCATAGGACTATCATAGATCAAATCAAAATTACTCTGAAAATATATTGAATGCAACATCGTTTTGAATACAAAACTATAAACAGAACCATAGGTGCCATCAGCTGAAACTCAGGCTGAGAGAAGAAAGATACATTACAAGGTAGAAAGATTCATACTTGACAATCAAAAATTCCAAGAAGACAAAAACAAATATGCAAACACATGATTCTAGCAAAGCTCTCGATCTTGCCTTATGGGTTGAAAAACTAGGAATAAGAACCTTGATTTCGCCAGTGGCCGCTTTATTTGATGCAGTGAGTCCATTTGCAATCTTTGAGAGTGTAACTAACATCTCAGATTCAGGGATAAACCCTGTTTTGTTGTGTTTTTGTTTTTGTTTTTGTTTTTTCTTTTCTTTTCTTTTGTTTTTGCTTGTTTCCATAAACAAAAATAATGAAAAATAAAAAACACTCGCTGAAATTGAAAATTTGAAAACAACTTCTTGAATGTTTATTAAAAAGTGGGTACTTTAAAATTTAAAAAAAAAAATCATTTTAAAAACAGTTGGCCAAACAATTTTATATGTGGGTGTTTTCCAGAAAATGAAAACAGAACCAAATACAGGTTACATCCACCACAAAGTCTGTATTTCTGCAACAACAACAACAACAACAACAACAGCTTTTTAAAGCTAAATCAAGTTGGCAATCAAACATCTGGTAAAAAACATGAACACAAGACCTAGAAACAGAAGAAATTGGCCAATTACAGAGAGAAAATGAATTACAAATTTGAAATCATCTCTGGTTTTGACTACCGGAATGCCAGCAGCAGCATTTTTAGCATCAACACCATTCTTTGCCGAATCTCAACCGCTTTTGAACCAGTTTAGTCTATATATGCCATGATTGGAGTTTCAGAGCAACCAACACTTCACATTTACAAGTTTTCTAAATTGTTAAAGCTACTGTTTAACAACAATCAGAGTGGGGCAGCACAAGTGTGGTGGACCCATAACCCGCAGGTCCAAGATCGAAATATATTCTTTTTAGGCCCCGTTTGCTTTCTTCACTAGCAGTCCACTCCAGACTGTTAGTGATGAACAGTAAAATTAGCTTATGTTTGTTTTGGTTTTTGAACTTCCACTTCGTAGTTCCTTTGGCTTAGGATAGGCCTTGGGCAACGGACTTGGGCAACGGATTAGCAGTCTAGACTGGGAGATGGTATTAGCAGTAGTCCGTTCGGATTGGGTAACTTTTTTTTTTAGTGTATACCTGTAACTTTTTTTTTCCTCTCTTTTTTTTGCCTAAATTTTATAGGAAAAATTAGTCTAAGGTCCCTCTCTCATGTTTAGTAATGGAAGAGATCCACAATATTATTTTATAATGTCTAAGGTCCTTCAACCTCCACACCTATATATCACAGAGAAATTTGACTTCTCTCTCTACCAACTTCTCTATTATCGAATCTTTCTCTCTCTTTATCTGTTGTGTCTCTTCTCTCCTTCAACTGTGTTTCTCTTTATTCTCTCTCGTTAGCATCATTGATGACCGGCGCCGGCAATGAAAACCTTTGAATTCAGCTCATAAAAAGCTTTGAATTCAAAAAAAATGCTAGACCGTTTCTTCGAAGCTCATCAGCTATGGAAGATCAAGCGAGTTCTCCGAAACGGAAAGCTCACTCTCCTCTACCTCGTGCTCACAGTGGTCGTGATTTAGAAAAATCTCGATGCCAGAAAGTTCGGAACTTCATAAGAAGACTTCAGCAAGATCCGAGACCATTTCTACTCTAGTCGGCGCATCGAGCAACGCCGCATTCTTGAAGAAGCCTCTCCTCCTCCCTACTCCTCCATCAACCAGACTGATTAAAGCACTGATTTCTTGCCTTTATGATTGCATCAATAAATAGCAGATTATATCAGGAAGCTTCTCCCAATAGTTCTGAGCTGGAAAGGTAATTGGACTTCAAGATCTAACAATGGGTCTACCTATATATATGGCCAGTGGATATGAATAAACACGTTCTCTGGGTTACTTTTTCTTTGATAATGTTAAACCTTCCTCAATACTCCGTGTGAGAAATTTGTGCTAAAATTTCTCTGGTTTGGTTAATTTTCTCTGCATTGTTTAATTTTCTTTGTGATGTTCAATTTTCTCTGGATAACCTACTTTCTCCCTTGCTTCCTTTGACAGAGGAAGTTAGCAACCAGAAATTAGCGGCTCAGTACATCCACAGATAGTTACGTGAGGCAGATGAAGCAAATTTGCTTGATGAAGAAGGTGAGTTTTTCCTTCTTCTCCAACTTTCTCTGGATGTGGTAATTTCTCTGGATTTGGTCACTTTTATCTGGATTTAACAATTTTCTCTGGATTACTTTTGAATTTTCTCTGGATTTTGGCAATTTTCTCTGGAGTTCATTGTAGTCGTTGTCTCCAACTTAGGAAGCTAAGCTGTTGATTTATAATGCCTTTTGCAGACCATTAGTTACATGGCTGAGCATGTAGTGGATATTGGATCATTTGGAATTGTTTTTAGGTAATATAATCTAAGTTTTATTTGAACTTCAGTAATTCCAGGATCGATGATGATTTAATATGACTTTCATTTAGGCAAAATGCTTGGAAACTATGGTCATAAAAAAGGCAGAGAAATTTCTCTAGGAGAGTGGGAAGAAAATGGAAGGCAGAGAAATTTGGAGAATAGGAGAGCAGAGAAATTTACGGTGAGAAAATTAGGGAAGGTCAGAGAAATTTGACGTGAATTTTCTCTGGATCAACTTAAGGGACTTTAGACATTATTAAAATATTGAATGTCCTTTATGCTATAAAATCTTAATACCAGGGACCTTAAAAAAAAACTTCTTTTTTTTTCCTTCTTCATTTTAAGATATATCTCTAGCTATTTTTTTTTCTTCTCAAGAACAAAGAAAATAAAACTTTGGGTGTGGTCATATGGAGTGATTTTTTTTTATTTTTTCATTTTTTTATTTTTTATATTTTGCATTCTTCATTTTAGAGAGAATTACACACTCGTTACTATTATCATATCTTTGCTTTTTTATTTTATTTATTTAGTCTCTTATGTCAGATCAATTGTTTTTTTTTTTGGTTACTCTGCCTTGTTTTTTTGAATCCCTATGTATATATAAGTTATTTTATCCATAAGTGAAGTTCTTATATTTCGTCTATAAAAAAAATATAAAAAAATAAAAATAAAAATAAACTTCCCAAGAATGTCACATTTTAAAATAATTTTCTTTCCATATCTTCCTCATGTGATGGGATCAGAGATTCTACTACTACCATAGCAAAAGACAATGGCATCATCCTTTGAATTTCAATGAGGACAAAAATAAATAAATAAAAAGAGATGAATGTAATGGCACCAACAATAATACCCAACATTGCATCACAACAATGAAAAAAATTTATGTATATATTGATAATGACACAGCCCACTCTGTCCTGTACACTGATCAGAATGAATTCATATTTGTCACATTGCTTAACCAGTAAAAGACTCACCTACTTTTGCCATGACTCCCCCATCCCCCTTTGTGGTTTATTTTTCTACTTTTTTACCCCTCAGCAGACTCTATCCAACCAAAGTGAGAAGATGAATCCTTTCCATATCCTTACAGTTGTAATCACTGCAATTTGAAATTCACATGATCATTTATTTAAAGAATGTCAATCACATCTCTCCCATGACTCCTCTCCAAAATTGAAAAAATAAATTAAAAAAATGTGTGCTATGAAAGCACATTTTTTTATCTTTTTTATCTTTTTTTGATCACATTACCGCTCTGCTTTTTTACATATCTTTTCGTAAAAAGTAAAAAATACATTTATTTAGATCATTTCAAATAACTTACACATCCAATACTCGATACTCATATAAGTAATATGGGATATGGATAAGGTCACATATAAGTAGCCTAAACAACATGATAATTTTTTTTAATAAAAAACATAAATACATACATAAATATCAGAACAAAAGGAACCAGCAAACCAGCCTTTAACCCCATGAGAATTTTTTTTCTTTTTTATTATTAAAAACATATATATAAATATATCAGAATAAAAGGAACCAGCAAAGGCATTTCACCACAACTTCCCCCATACCTGAAAAGCACTCAAGGCGCTCCACCAAACAAAAAATTACCCTTTCCTTTCCTTTCCTTTCCTTTCCTTTCCATTCCCATCCCATACCATTTAAGACTATGAAAATAAGGTATTCAGATTAATTACTATCAATTCACATTGAAGATCACATCTTTCACATATCATGGCCTAATATCAATGGGATCAACTGTTGAGATGTTAGGTTCAAATAACAATCTTTCTTCTTTATTAGCATATCATAAACACAAAATGCAGCATTTATTTAGCAATAACCCATAAGTCAATGTTCAAATATATGTATGTGTGTGTGTGTAAATAACTGAGACACCAAGGAGTTAGAAGTAACAATCTTTCTTCTTTATTATTTTCTTTCAAAGCAGGCTAAATAGCATATCATAAACACAAAATGCAACATTTATTTAGCAGTAACCCATAAGTCAATGTTCAAATATATGTATGTGTGTGTGTGTAAATGACTGAGACACCAAGTAGTTAGAAGAAGCTTGTAATGAGTTAATGAGTTAATGTCGTAACTGCAAGCACATGATTCCAGTGACCATGGCACCACTTAACCCCTCCCAACTACAGTGATCTTCACTTTAGATAAAGAATATAAGGTAAAGAATTCATGTGACAACACACCAAGCATAAGGCCAAACCAGTATGCAAGAGATTCGAAGCAATTTCAATATCCCCACCGAGACAGGGCCCAAAACCACCTCCCCTCATCCACAACCCTTAACCTTTCCTCCAACCACACAAAAAACAATGCATAAATCCAACACAATCACCACGACAATTCCTGAGAAAAGGGCTGCAAAAACTCCAGTTGAAATAGGCACCAGAGGAACTGTTGGATCCCTTATGATGAAAGAGATAGAGTACTTTAACCGGCTTGAATTAGGCAGCCAGGACAGCTCTGAGAAGCCTCGGCATCAATTCACAGACATGGCCTCCACAAGCAGTTACTCCAGACCCCCCAAGCACGGATCTTTGATCAAAACCCCGAAAAAGAAGAAGAAAGGAGGAAGCAAACTCGTGCCAAACATATGTTCTATGGTGGAAGTTGCAGAGAACAATCAGCCAAACAAGACTTCTGGATTCAGTTACAGGAATCTGAAAGCCGATGCAAAGAAGTTGCAGCTGGCTTAGACTATGCTGCTCTCAGAAAGCTTCGAGAAACCAAGCTTCTTGAGTCGATTTGTTATTGGGCCGGTCCATGTCCTGTCCTGATTACCGCATTTTATGTCCACAACTTCAACAATGTAAGATCCTCTTTTATCAGGTTTATCTCTAATAGGAGTACTTCCGTCTAAGGATATGTTATCAGAGTCGAGCATTGGTATTTGATGGGTTTTCCGATTGTAGTGTTTTGTTTTCCGGGCAATTTCAGTGCTTTTCTTATTCACGATGCTGCTGCTGCTACTGCTGCTTGCTTCATCCAGTGATGTTCTTGGCTTTAGTATTTTAGGAGTAGTGGCATCACTAGGAACCAAAATAGAAACTGTAGGAGATTTCTTCCTAGGTGTTTGAGGACCAGACTTTGTGGATTCTAATTCCCTTGACATTAAGGTACCAATTGTCCCAGTGGACCCAACTTTGATGGATCCTCCACCGCCCTTGATGGCATCCAGTGTCGGAACCATGTTTTTTTCAATCATTCTTGAAACCTTTTCTTTTCCAGAGGGAAAGTTTAAGATCTCAAGATCCTGTCAGAAGTAACAGCATGGTATGAATTCTAAGTATGCATTTCCATGGCAAATTTGTAATGTTGAGATGAAACTTAGGAAATTTCTTCATATCTCAATTAAGAAGTTTTCAATCAATTTCAAACTCTCCCAAGTAGGAAGATTCATATTTGTTTTTTTTTTTTTTTTTTTGAACATTTCACCAATCAGTTGTCAACAGCTGCAACATTCCAGGACTGAGAGAATGTGAGCTCCCAATCAAAAGAAACAAATAAATTTAGCAGGTAGAAACAGATTTTCAAATGGAGCAAAAATGCAAGACAAAACCATCAAAGTAATAATACTTCCATCAAACATCAAAGTAAACATTTTTTAACTAGCAGATTCTTGTTGTCTTGTTAAGAAAACAGTAATTATCTCTATTAGCAAGATAATGTACGTCCACAGATGAAAAATTAATAATGACCGAGTAATGATGTTCACAAATCATAAAAATTCATACTTAACAACGGAGTAATTACTAGAAAGGTAGACGGCCTCTATCTGTAGAATAGAAATTTTACAATGACTGATTATTATCAAAAAGTGCATAAATATCAAAAGAGGAGTGAGAAAAAAAAAATCAAACTGATTTATGATAACCATGAAGTGGTTTGAAATAAAGGAATGCAGGGAGAGAGATAATATAGGGAATCAAGTAATGTGAAGAAAAAGAAGAAAAAAAACCCTTAAAAATCTGCTTAGAAAGAAAAATTGTTAAATCCTAAAAGCTCGGAACATTAATTACAGCTATTGGTCAGTCAGTGCTAGCAAGAAATAAACCATTTTAAGCCAAAAACTACAAGCTCTAAAAATAAATAAAATCCAACTATAATTGGTGGCAGTAAGTTGGCTAAAATTCCTGATTTCACAACAGAAAGAAAATGCTAACATTTCAGGCCAACAACAATGCCACTCCATCTATCAATATTATTCAACAATAATGAGATCTTGAAATTATTTTCCCCATTTCCCAGTTTCTCTCCACAAATCCTAATATAAATCCAAGATCCGAACATAACCTAAAACTATGTAGTAATGTACATAGATTCTTACATTCCAGCCAAACCTAAAATGGCAAAAAAACAAAAAATCTCATATCTCTTGGCCCACAAGAAAATCAGTTTTGTTTTAACAGCAAAGAAAAAGAAATATCACATTCAAGCAAAATGTTAGCCATTAAATCAATAAGCAAAGATTTCAACTTTGATGAATATAAAGTCAACATGATCAAAACCCATCAAGTTCGTACAGTATCAGACACAAAATCAAAACCAGTGATTCAACCACTCACAAATTACATTAAACCCTAATAAAGAATGATCAGAACAATGAAAGATCTAAAACTAACCCAACAAGAAATCATGAAAATCACAAGTAGCAACCTACAAAAAACAAAACCCTAATAAAGAAAGAGACCATAAAAGATCAAAGATTAAAAATCTTACCAACAAACAACCCACCGCGAGAGCATTAACCGGAGCTCAACGTGTTTGGAGATGAGTCATTTAATTTCTCTTCTCTCTCTCTCTCTCCCTCTCCCTCTCGCTCCTCTCAACTACGGAGAGATATAAAGAGAATTCATGCCGAGCCCACCACGACAAGTTAAAATCTCTGCAAATATTTGTGAAGTGTTTTGAATTTGGAAAATGATTTCGACAATTTTAAGCCATTGTAACTATAAAAGTTGTGGCTCTGTAATATTGTTGTCAGTGATTTGCCTCAACTACATAGAGATATAAGGGAGACAACAATTTAGACCACTAAACAAAATACACAGCTGTGCCATTTTGGAAATATGGTAAAAAGTTATATTTGTAGACAAAATATTAAAAAATGTGGCTGTTAAAAATGTCAGAAAAATTATTTGAAAAATGTCAAAAACGCAGTCATAAAATTACAAATTAAGGTTTATGAAAAAAAAATAAATAAATAAATCTCTTATGATGGGTAAAGGGATTTTGGTCATTTTAATTTGATTTGACACTATAAATAACTATTAAACTAAAAAGTAAAAAGTCAATTTTTTACTAACTTCTCAAATCACTTCTAAAAAAACTAAAAAACTTGATAAAAAGTCAAAAACTAACTTTTTATTAACTTTTCAAAACAATCCTAATAGCACTAATAAATTAAAAATGATAAAAAAATAATAATAATAAAATAAAATAAGACATAAAAAATGAACCGAACCGTTATCACATCATTAATACTTCATTTTTAATGCTCCAAGCATTTCTCATACGGGAAATTGATTCCAATCCCACCAAGAAAAGTCAAAATCTATGCAAATATCTGTGAAGTATTTTGAATTTTAGTCATCAAAGTGTGTGTGATCAGTGATTTGAATGTAAACTTGGTAAGAAGCACCATGTCTCAGTGCCATTTCGGCACATGATAAAAAGTCACGTTTTTAAATAAAATATTTAAAAATATGATTATTAAAAAAGTCAAAAAAATTATTTGATAAGTGTTAAAAATACAGTCATAAAATTACAAATTAAGACCTATAAAATAAATAAATAAATAAATCTCTTATATTGAATAAGGGTATTTTGGTCATTTTAATTTGATTTGATATCATAAATAAATATTAAATTAAAAAGCAAAAAATCAATTTTTTACTAACTTCCTAAATCACTTCCAAAAAAATCAAAAAATTTAATAAAAACTCAAAAATTAATTTTTTACCAATTTCTTAAAACAATCCTTATTAGGCAGTAGGTGGGACCAGTCAAACGGCGCTTGAGGACAGCATCCGACACGAATCATGCGCGTTTATGGATTTTTTTTAAAATTAATTTAGTATTTTATTTCAAAATAATATTAAGATTAGGTTTGGCATAATCTATATAATCCATCTTTTTATCTTTTTTTCACCACATCATCTCTTTACTTTTTTACATATCTTTTTATAAAAAGACAAAAAAATATATTTTTTTAGGACATCCCAAACCAGTCCTAAATTGGATCTCCCATTATTTATCTTTTGGCTTTTCCCATCTTAAAATAATAATATATATCTTTTAGCTTTTATTCATAACTTCTTTTTTCCAAACCTAAAGTGGATTATTGAAAAGAAAAAATTAGTTTCAAATTCGAATTAGATGGACTGGCAAGACTTTATTGCGTTGAGCATGACTGTTCCGAATCGAATGATTGATGATCAAAGTATACTTTTGTTATTTAGGTAGACAAGAGGGGTTGATTAGGTTATTAAATTTTTTTTTACAATATTAAAAAATTATATACATAATATTAAAAATTTTAATAAATAAAAAATAAAATAATAATTATTAATATAAAAATAAGAGAGATAGAGAGAAAAAATCAAACACTGAGATTTATAATGGTTCGGTACGTCGGGCGTACATCCACTCCCTAAGTAACGTCTTTGAGAATTTCTTCACTATCAAAATGAATCAATACACTATCAAGGCTTCACCAAGATTGTGGATTTTTCACAGGTCTTACTTTTATCTATTGAGTCTCATCCAACCATAAATACCTCATCCTTACAAAAAAATTTCACAAAATAATGAATAAAAATAAGAAGTACTTGAACTCTCTTTTACAATAATTTTCTCACAAAAAGTATATATGAAAGTATAAGAACAAATATTACACTTAGATCTGAAAGTGGAAGAGCAGAATATAATACACTCAAAATTTTGGAGCACACTGATTTTTTTTCTTCAAATTCTTTATTTTTTTTCACACAAAACACTTCTATTTATACCCAAAAATATAGTCGTTGGAGAGACAGACACTCCTCTGACAAATCACGAGGCATCTATTTGTTTTCAACTTTTTCATCATTTGGCACCCTTTCATTTTGTCAAAAATTGTGGCTCGATGTTTGAACAAACTTACTAACATGTAGATTTTGACTAATATATATGATATATATATATTTATATATTTATATAGAATTGAGGTAAAAATAATGTGCCTATAAAGTTCACATTTTTCTTTTTATAAAATTAATTTATATAGAAAATATAACTTCAACTTTCCAATTTCAAACTACAACATGTGAAATGTGCTGCAACTTTGCAACATTTTCTTTATATATATATATATGCAAAGGATGTAAAAAATATATTGCACCGCTCCGCCATGCCACTTTATATAATTAATATATTTTATATAAGATGCAATTCTAATTTTATATTATATAATATATGTAAAATAATTTTGAATTCAGTGTAACATATACAAAAAAATATACTACAATTTTATATTTTGTGTCAAATTATTATAATATATGTATATTAAAAAATTCACAATAATAGTTGAGACATCATCAAAGTTAAACAACACGATTAATAATCTCTCCCTTTTTGATGATGACAATACAAGTATGTAATTGACACAAAATTAAAATCAACAAAATATTTGATAACTCTGTAACATATAAATAGTGATCAACCGAATTATTCAAAACATGAATAATAAAATTTTCAAAATATTTTTATTTATATAACAAATGTATCATACCAAATATATTTTAAACAAATAATATTTTGTGTCAAATAATATAAAATATGTATATTATTTACAATTTTTCAATTAATATTTTAGACATCATCAAAATTAAACAACATGATTAACAATCTCCCATTTTTTTGATGATGACAATACAAGTATGTATTTGACACAAAATTAAAATCAATAAAATATTTGATAACTCTGCAATATATAATTAAAACACATGCACAACAATTCAAAATCATATTTTTCTCCCCCTTTGACATCATCAAAATAAAATATAGAGATAGGAAGATTGTAAGGAGAATAAAATTAGCAGTGATCAAAACAAAAATCAGACAAACACATTTGAAAAATTAATCCGAGATGTCAAAAATATAATAATGATTATTATGTCTTGTCGTGATCATTGTGGGGATTTTGGAGCATCTTTGAAAAAATGATGCAACAGAGTCCAAAATGTTGACAAACAAGAGATTTGAGCGGATATGCATTGAGTATTGGATTGGTAAAGTGTATAAAAAGTGACAAAGATGATAGGCAAAGATACGAAATCGTCAAGTGTTGTTAGAGAAAAATTTGTTTTACCTTGTTGTGTAATCATGTCATTCCTTACCTTATCCATCAATGGTTCTGACATACATGAAGTGCTTGTAATTCAGGCAAGTGAAAGGTTACCGATAATGCATTCGCACGCTATTCCTATAAATAAGAATCCTAGTGTTTTTGGTAATCGGAATGATATCGATGCTATTAATAACACTATGGCTCTTAGTACACAGACGATAATTGTGGTTTTCAATATGGTTCAAAGATTACAAGCAAGAGTACAAGGAAATTAGCAATTGATAGACGATGCGAGCTTGTTAAAACAACAACTAGCTAATACTCGTCAGGAGAAGAGAGAGCTAGAAAGGAAAAATTCACAGTTAAAGAATATGGTGCAATATTATGCAACGGTTATAATGCCAACACTCACAAAAGTCGAAAATAAAGAGCGGCATGTAAAGGAGGCTCATGAAAAGTTGTTTAGAGAAGTGAAACGCAAAAAATCTGTGAAACCTTCTCAAATCATATATGTAGTCGAGCAATAGTTTCTCCTTCTGAAATAAAATTTCAAGTATTTCTCTTTGAAAAAATTGTTAATCTTTGCTATAAAAAAAACTGTTGATGCAGATAAAGAATGAAAAAAAAAAATTTAGTTGAGAACTATATATACTCCCCTAAAATTATGCATAGAATATATAAACATCCTCTTAAGAATTTTTTTTTAATTGTTTTAATCTCAAAATGTTACAAAATATGAGTCTCTCACTAAATTAATGCACTAAAAATTATACAAATTGTAAGAAATAGGTTACCAATTTATTATACTAAGGGCTATTAAGATCCGGCCATAAACAACTACACAGAGTACACTAGCATAAAAAGAGAAAATACAAATAAAAACAATTTCTTCATACCAAGTAGAAGCAATTGTTATTAAATATAAGAGAGTTTGGAGCACATACAATCATATAAAAAATATCACACATTGCAAAAATAATTTTAACATATTAATCAGTGATAATGTTGATGATGGGGAAGAATGGAGAAGATCGTGGATGAATGTTTGTAGATTGGTGATGAATTTTTGTAGATCGGTGATGGATCTTAGTGGATCAGTAATGTATCGTGATGGATTGGTAATTGACCTTGACGAATCGAAAATTATGTCGAACATCAGTGATGAAGGTTTTGTGTAGAGCAGTGATAGATCTTGGTAGATTGGTGAGGGATTTTGATGGATGATGATAGTGATGAAAGTAATGGATAATGGTGGTGATGGAGTCATAGTTGGATGATGAGAAAGAGCGAGAGCACGAAAGAGAGAGAGAGAGAGAGGGGTTTTATAATAAAAAAACTTAAAATTTTATTTATTTATTTATTTATTATATATAATTATTATATATATACATACTACCAACCAATCGGTCCTATGCATTCAATCAAATTATATATGTTTGAACTTCATACATGGTATAAACTTTATAAAAATTGTATGTTTTCAATCAATATGTGCTAATACATATGTTGACCTTTTCTTTCTTTTAGGAATTGACTTTGTTCCAAAAGTAATCAGATTAATGTGATAATTGTAAGCACATAATTATATTAAATTTGTAGAAAAAAAAAACTCAATTAACTTGAAAATA